CGCCATGGATTCGTTTTCAACTTTTAATTTCGTTTGAGTTATTGAATGCATATCTAGGTTTCACAATGACGCGGTAAACGCCCGCTGTATCGATTCAGTGCTGCTTATCCTCCAAGACAAGTCTAAGACCAGACTGGTAGCAATTCGCCGACACAGGAGGGATGAATGGCTTGGTGATTCATAAGCACGAGATTGGACCATTGATCTCCTTTGCGACGCAGAGCACCTCTAACCACTGCGCCACATGTGCTCTTAACAATGATTATTCTTCAAAATAAAGAATATCATAATACACGATCTTCTGCCGACGATCTGCAAGCTTCTGGATTTGCCCGAAATCGCCAATCCTTGAGCTCCGAATCAAAAGACTCCTGACATGTTTCTCCAACCTGATCAAATGTCTCAAATCGGCCCACTCAAGATTCTTCCATTGAGCGGAATTAGATCAGTCGAACGGCACAGGATCCGGACTGTAGGCTGGCTGCGGCAAGACCTCGACTTCGTCCAGTTCATCAAACTTTTCCTTAGTCTTCTTTGCGATGTGAAATTTGCCACTGTATTGCTGAAACAGCACGCACTTTCGATGAAGCACTGATGTACTATAATTAGCGTTGTCATGGGAGCTTCTTATGGAATTGATTTCATGAATTCATGAATGAGATACTGTGTGAAACAGACATAAAATTTTGATTTCACTGGTGTTGAGGAACTTTTCCTCATCCCAGTATATTTGCCATAATAAGAGGCTTCATCTACTCCCATCGTTTCTAAATGGGCCATTTAGTTACTATCTGAAATCAGTCACGCAGAAGTTCTACATGGGAAAGGATTGTACAAGGCTCAATTAAAAAATTTCGTAAATCTGTATCCGAGATGGTGAGTGATACGCCGAACTTTTGATTCCGGGCAAGAGTCGTATCCGTGTTTTATGCATACCTTAGGCGTGTGCTACCCACCACACCGATCAAGGCCATCGTTCTGCTGCCACTTTTCCTTCGATGTGAGGCAGTCTCTATGTGATAACTATTACTGACACGTTTAGTGCACCCTCAAAATATACATCATTCCAAATCGCGCGCGTATTACTATGACATTAGTTTTGTAACTGAATTTTTTTTTCATGAAAGCTGCGTGTACTTCTGTCATCCTCTGTTACTTTCTATACAATTACTATTTTCTAGAAATCCTTTCTCCTCAAAACAGCCGTACCCCCTCCACTTCCTGAACAAAAGACCAGGTGTTCCTTGCAAATGTAGAATAAAGGAAACTCACGCTACAGTGGCAACTTCACTGTCACAACCATAGAGAGAAGCAGTTTTGAAAAGGATTCAGCATGAGAATCATTTTCATCACTTGTATCACCTGTCGTCCCGTTGATCGTAGAGTGATCGAGCGGGTACCAGCAACGCTACCACGTCTCTCTATCGCGTGCAAGAGTAGCCCAGTGGGTCCTCGCGGCTCTAGGGATTCGCTGAGCATCATATTTTTCTTCTATACCTTTCGTGAAGAAATCGCACCAACGGATCGGTGGTCTTCCTTTAAAGCGCTTGACGTCTGCGAGGAATCCAGTCGGTAACGGCTCCCGTCCATCGGTTGTCGTTGAAGCGCATCACGTGTCCCGCCCCACCTTATTTCCGCTATCTTGGTGTGTAGAACGGCGTCTCTGATTTTCTGTTCACGTAGGTCGTAACTTCGGATCTTTCCTCCCATTTGCGAGAAACGGGGTACTCCTAGCATCAACCTTCCGGCTGCGCGTTCAATAACGCCAAGTGATTTTTCCTCCTGCTTGCGTAGCGACCAGGTTTCTGCTGCATATGTAATTGGCAGGGACATTTGTCGAGTCGAAAAGGTGGGCACGGATCCGGTTGTCCTTTGGGCTATTCACTACGTACTCGATTCTCTTAAACGTTCCCCAAGCCTCTCATTTCCTCTTGCTCAATTCTGGAGATAGGTCGTTCATCTTGTTGATTTCACGACCTAGATAGACGTAACTGGAGCATTCGCAGATGTTCGCTCCGTTGAGCGTGAATGGGGCATTCAAGACCCATCCGTTTCTCATGAACATCGTTTTCTTCAAAATTCGTTGAAGACATATCTTTCTACAGACGTTGTCGAAATCGGTCAACATTCGTTCCGCTTGGCTGAAGATTGGTGTTATGAGGACGATATCATCAGCAAGGCGAAGATGGTTCAATTGCCGACCGTCAATTTTCACTCCCATGTCGTCCCATTCTGATATTCGCGTGACATTTTGGAGGGTGGCAGTGATAATTTTTGCGAAACTGTACCGCCTTGTCGAACCCCTCTTCTTATGTCTCCCACGGATCTCGCTCTCCGTCTTTGAGAAATCCCGCCAGGTTAGTCGCGAGGGCACGTGGCGCGCCCTCAGATGATGTATAGGGGAATGAATGCGAACCAAAAGCGACCGTGTGTTTCCCAGGGACGCAAATGAGTTCAGGGGATGAGCTCCCTGCTTCTGTAGCGCCGATTTGACAAACTCTATTTCTACGAGTCAAGTTGGCCAAAAGACTGCAATCAAGCCGCTGGGAAGTACATAGGAGGCGGTTAGGAGTCCCCTTTAACAAATAAGCTCCCCCGCTCCTCCGAGAGACTGGCAAGCTACTGGTGAGTACCCAGCCCCACGTTTAAAGCCTCGCAAGCTATACGTTGGAGATCAAAATGCCACAAGCAGTAACGTAAGAATCATTTTCATATCGCAATAAAATTTGAAGAAATAGGGTAAAATTCGCTTTTTAAGGCTTCTAACGGCAAAAGAAAGAGGCTCTTTGACACTAAAATGACCACGGAAGCTGTGGAAAGCTCAAAATTCTCGCTCGAACACAAGTTTTTCTTTTACCAGCTCGTAAATTATTGGATAACACGAACAGACGGCAATGAATGTTTTCCTTACACATCTCACGTAATTTGTTTCACTGATTATCCTTTCTTTGATTTTCATTGTAGGCAATAGACTTTGACTAAGGAAAATTCACGTATGTATTGAGTACTAGATTCAATTCATCTGGTCACAGCTGAGGAAAGCCAGCTGTAATCCCATACAAAGCTAGATGTGAGTGCGAAAGCATCTAAAAGTAGTCCATACTACTGAAATGAGATCTCTCTCATAGCGCATAGGTGGGACCTTTGCAGATTTAGTTACAAAAGCACGTCAAGCTTACACAAAAAAGTGGATAGGCCAATAACACGGACGATAAGCGACCATACATGCAAACTGAGAAGCAAACAAATTCAATGGACATGTCGCACAAAAATTGCTCAAATTGAATTGTTACTTAATCAAAGATATCAACTGATTAACAGTGTAATCACCATAACGACTAATGAACATGTGCTGAGCGAAAACTAGTGGCCTTCCAGCAACAAATAATGAGCCCGATGACCAGAGAAATCAACGAGGTCACTTCTATAAGGTTAGTCTTTGGACCTTTTTTTCTCCCGCAGATGCTCCTTCAGAGTGCGAAAGAGCTGATAGTCCGATGGAGTACGATCAGGGCCAATCGGTGAATGCGCTACCACGGTACAGCCCAGTTTGTTCAAAATTGTAACGAGCCGGTTTAGCAATGCGATGTGGTCGGTCAGTACAGGAAGTGTCCGCTGAGACACCACTTTGCGGTAACCCATTTCTTTAGATAGAAAGCGATAGCACTCAAGTGGCCAGCTAAAGTTACTGTAACATTCTACGCAATGTGACAGTGTTTTGGCAATAACCCGATTGAGTTTAGGAAAAAGGAACTGGATAAAACAATAGTACAGAAGTAATTATGAGACAAGGTAGTACATCACTTAGATATGCTTGGATGCACCACGCATCTGTGGGTATTCTCCTAGCCAAAAAAATTTGAAACTAAAGGCCTGTATGGTGAATGTGCACTCTTTCATAATCTCCGTTGCTGTTGGAAGCAGCTGTATAGTCGTGGGACGCAACAGGAATGATCACAGACTGTGCAGGTGTCTGTTCAACTAATGTGACGATTAGTGGAATTTTAGGCAATGTAAGAAGTGATTTATGTAACAGCAACGAATAAAAAGAAAGCAAACGAAAATCAACTCAATTCAAACAATCACTATCGGTGTACACGTAAGAAAAGCATCAAACAAAAAACTAATTTGAAAATATACGAAAGAACATAGTATTCGGATTGAATGCACGCAAGCAATGCGCGATATGGCCTTCAAAATCTTCGATTTTGTCTAGCTACTGCTCGACGTCACCAATGTGTAGATCAACCTGTAAAAGAAAGATAGTTGATGATATGAACACTTCTGAACAAAATGTTCGATGTACTGATAACATGATAACAAGTCCAAGCCTGTTATGAGGTCTGTTATGAGTACTTAAACAGTGCTAGACAAGCGCCGGTTTCGTCCTTCCTGACTCCTCAGTAGCAACGAACCCTTCGGTACAGCCGATCCAATGCGGATATACTCACAAGAGGAATCGACACCGAATAATTGATCACCGCAAGCCAGGTGACAAAAACATTTTATAACAGGCTCGAACATGTTCTCAGCTTATCACTGTTCTAAGCAAATCTATTTGAACGGTCGAGAGTTTGTTCGATGTACTGCTCGCCGCGCCCATCGTCACTAGCCATTCGGCTGCACCCCCCTTCAATCCTCCCTCCTTCCTTACCCTATCACCTAGCGACAGAGAGTATAAGTTAGCTGATCATAGCTGATCCTAGATCTCCGACATATTTGCAAAGCATTTCCACGTCAAGCGATTTGAAAACTCTAAAAATGTGAATGTAAAAACTCACGCGTAGAGATAGTAGAAAAATGAGAGAAGATAAAACGCTAGTTTAGCCCAACTAGCACGAAGTGACGCGCTCAACTTATTACGGTTCAGAATCGTCGTTGGATCATAAATACCCGGTCCAGACATTACCGGAAGACGCAAGTAGCTAAAATATTAGACTAATATATGTAATCTACAAAAGTCGTATATCCGATGATGCTGAGTGATATGCAAAACTCTGAGCCACGAACGCGATTCGAACCCGCATTCCACCCTTTCCGGGGACGCGTGCCAACCATTGCACCATCATAACTTGTTCTGGGATACTTTCTACAAATTTCCAATATCTGTCAGCGTATTGGTTCAATTTCGATATCGGTCTGCCAGGCCAAACCGTTGATGGTTGGTTGCTGACATATCGTTAAAAATATGTCGTAAAAAATGTGGATTCGAATCTCATCGTCGTCAAAGTTTCGCAGGCTCTTTTTGATTATTAGGGAACAAATGAAGAACCGTCATCGTTCGCTTGAGAAGATTTCATAGGAGTGCTAGTGATCAATCGGAAGCTTAGATTACTGACTAAAGCCCCAAATGGCCAGCTTTTCAGAAAACACTTTTATAACGCTGCGAAATCCACACAAATTCAAGCCTCAGACGCGCATAGCTCCCGCCAGACAGAGCTCTTTCTTCGGACTCATTTTACTAATTCATCGTAAGATACACTTACGTCGCCACGTGATATACTGCAAGAGGCAGATTCATTAATATCGCAAACATCTGCCAACTTAGAAGAAACAGGACAGTGTAGGACATTTGGATCACATATTCGGGTAGAATGAGCTGAAATAATCGCTATGATCAATGAGTGAAAAAGAGGATGTCGTCAAGTTAGAAAGCTATCATAGAAGAGCAAATATGATGAGTAATAATGGTATAATTACCGCTTAATATAATGTCCTAAAAACGACGGTGATAACCAAATCTGATTCTGAGCAACTAATATGGGCTGAAGATTTTGAAACACCTACCTGATTGAGATTTCTGCATTGCTCTATAGGATTTTTATAGTCTGTTTTGAGCTCATCCATGCAGATCACCTGAAAATGATAACTTAGTAGATAGCAGCAGGCTAAAATAAATGTCCCTCCTTCTCATACAATGAGAATTTAGGACTTGTCCTTACGTAACAACTGCTTATTTGCCAAAGGTTTTCAGCCCAACGCAACCTTAAAACATTGAAACGAGTAGAAAGGATAAGAAACCCTGAAGCGCAGTCAAACCCTTTGTACACACCTATCCATTTTGTAGATGACATTTTTATACATCGACGGTAGCATCAACAAGATGTATAATATATATATCTGACAAATGCAAGATTTTGACCCCGGACGGAAGTTGAACCCGCGTATCACCCTTTCCGAGGGAGTATGCCAACCAATGCACTACCGAAACTTCTGTTCTGCTATCAATGTTTCTATAAAAACGATAAAGGATAAAGCTCTCATCGTTGATCAATCCCTGAGGGATCACCTGCATGCCTTTGTCTTCAATTTTCAACTTCGTTTGAGGTGAATCAATGCATATCTGGCCTTTACAATAACTCGCGGTGGCCTCTCGCTGGACCGAGTCAGTGTCGCTTATCCTCCCAGACAAGCTGAGACCAGTGTGGCACCAATTTACCGACCCTGGAGGGGTCGAAAGCCTGGTGAGCCATGAGCGCGAGGTCAAACCGTTGACCTCTTGTGCGACGCAGAGCACTTCTAATCATTGCGCTTCTTTTGTTTCTATAATGTTTCTATAGTACGATTAGAACACTATATTACGGCCGAAAAAAGCGGTCAAATAGAGGAATTATGTTTATTACATACTCTATGGATCGTTGCAGGCATTAGAACTTGACGTCTATTCTTTCTCATAGCCAGTTCACTAGATTTCATAGTTTCAAGGCCCAAACAATTCTCAAACTTTCAACACTAGTCACTGTGGTTTTTTGTACTGGGCGCCATGGTCGAGTTGTGATGGCCGTAGCGGCGCGTATGGGGTTGAAGCTGACCCACCAACACTTTTCGGCAGTCACCAAGGAACATCCTATGGAACGCCATAACCATGCAGCCGAGCTATCCTCGAGATTGCTAGGAAACACGCTCAACTAGTCTATGACGTACCAAGAGAAAGACAAAAAAGGAATTGAATGCCAGAAGTACTACCCATCGAAAATAAGGTGGCCAAACACGTAATGCTCTTCAGCGACTACTGATGGAAAAGAACCATTACCGACTGGATTCCTCAGGACATCAAGCGCTCCACAGAAAGACTACCGATCCGATGGTCCGATTTATTCACAGATAGCTTAGATGAAAGACATGATGCTCAGCGAATTATTAGAGCAAAGAGGACTCACCGGTCTACCCTTGCATCTGGTGTGGAAAAATGAAAATGTCATCGGTGCCAATGTCACTCGATGATCAAGGGGAAAATAGGCGATACAGGTGAAAATCACCATCATCAACAATGATATGCAACCATGTTCCGGCCAAAGATTGAAGGCCTTCCTCCTAGAAGGAATGAAGCTCGGGCAAAGAAGACGGCGAAGTCACTTCTGAGCTAGTTGTAATCTTTGAATTTTTTCTCCTGCGAATACTACTTCATGACGCAAAAGAGATGACAATCGGATGGGACAATAGCACGGCTATGCGGGATTGTGGCACCGTAATCCACTCAAATCTGTCCACTGTTTGGTGAGTGAACTTCACAAGCTGAGGTCGAGCATTATCCGTGTCGAGAAGGGCGACAAAAAGTGGTACTGGGCGCTTCTCTCACACTGCTGCAGCCGACATTCGAAGTTCTTCATCATGGTGGACGTCGGTATTGATCGTCTGCTTGTTCTCGAGCATTTCCCGAAACAGCTTGCTCTGCCAACCCAGTAATCCAAAAGTATATCTTAAGAGTTTCACTTGGGCTTTGATTTAGGTGGCAATGGTTTGCATAGAATCAACATCTCAGCTCGTTACGGTACAGATTATGCTTGATAAATGAGAAGTCGTTTATATAAAATGATATACTATGGATATACGTGTGGAGCATGCAACCGCTCTCATAAGGTAAGTAAGATGATATGGTTGATAAGGGTAGACTTCATGCAGTATGGTTCATTTTCTAATGTGTATCTAGCTGATTCACAAGTGGTGTGCTACAGAAAGGTAGGTTTTGAGATTATTGATGAGATTTATACCTTGACATCACTTTAACAACAATATTTACATTTCCACAATTATATGGCGGATAAGAACAATTTACTTATGATTGAATTGAATCGAAAGTTATTGGGATATTGTTGGAATATATCTAAAGCATATCCAGTTAACCTATTCAGAACATGTTGCTTTTTGTAACTTTTGTTCAGGTGGTCGGGCACAGATAAGCGCTACGTGCTGGTTAGTTCTTCTTTGTCACAGCATCACCAGTTACAAGAATAGTGCGCTCCAACTAGGTTTCCGAACTTGGTCCAAAGATTCAAAAAAATGTTCTTCCAAGTAATTGAAAGTATCAAGTAACATGATTGAAATTTTCTCCGTCTGCCTGGATGCAATTCTGCCAACGCTCCGGCAACAAATCGTGCAGATCAGTGGTTGTCACCAGCGATTCATTGGGAGTTATTGCAAGCCGGTTAGACCATCAAGGCTGAGCGACACTGTCAGCAACTGGACCGTTGAAACAGAGCATTTCCACGTCACCGCCTTCGCCAAGTCATCATGCTTCAAGAAAGTGCAAAGTCGCACGTTGCCAAGAAGAAAGGAAGAAGTTGATCGATTTGAGCTAAGAGCACTTAGATCGTTCGCCGTACTCGCAGATCTCTCTCACTCTGATTTCTATCTCTTGAGATCATTAGAGCACTGGATGGACAAGAAGAAGTTTCGAGACATCAATCATTTGCGTCGAGAATTGACTGGTTAGTCCGCATCGAAGAATAATGAGTCTTATGAACACAGAATTGATTTGTTACCGGAGCGTTGGCTGAATTGCATCCAGGCAGAAGGAAAATACTTTATTTATGTTATTTGACAGTTTCGTTTACTTGGAAGAATAAATTCTTGTTTTTTTGGACCAAGTCCGGAAATCTAGTTGGAAACCAAATAGCACGCTCCTAAATATGCATTTATTTCAATTATTAGAACAAATCCCAAAACCGACTATCTACTAAGCTCGGCGTGCTTCAGTAATTCTTATTTTTTATTTCTTCAAAAGCAGAGCATCAGGTGTCAAGTCCAAACTTTATTCACACAATTAAACAACTAACGTTTCGTCTGAGCCTGGAAAGGTCAAAGCCTAGTTTAGATAGCAGAGGCTTGCATAGAAGCAACTCAGCTCGTTACGGTGCTGATTTTGCAGGATAAGTCAGAAATCGGTTACATAAAATGATATGCAGTCGCTCGACGTGTGGGTCATGTAACCGCTGTGATAAGATAAGATAATGTTGTTGGTAAGGTAATACCTCATGCAGTATGGCTCAATTTCTAACGTGTCTCTAGGTGAATCGCTAGTGCGTTAAAGAAGGTAGTGCTTTGAAATTATTCATGAGTTTTAGGCCTTTACAACACTTTAGAAACAATCTTTATATTTTCTCAATTACTACGGAGATAAGAGCATTTTACTTGTGAATGATATAAATCAAAGATTGCTGGGCTATATGTGGAGCATATTAAGTTAACCTAATTAGAACATGTTACCTTTTTTCGTAAGTTTCTGTTCAGCTGCTCGGGCACAGAGGAGCGCTATGTGCTGGTTAGTTCTTTTTTTTGTCAGAGCAGCACCGGTTATAAGAATAATACGCTACTGAGCTTAGCTTACTTTCAATTTTAAGATTTCAAAAATTTGCCCTTTATTTATTTGAATGCTTAAACAGCTACATTCTCAACATTCCAGGGATTTTTTCGCTCTTCGAGTCAAGTTGATTCATCTAATTCTCACAAAACTTGCTGCTTTTCTGCGGTTAGAGTAATAGACGATGAAGCCGCTCGATTGAGACGTCAAAGGCATACGTATTGATGGAAAATCCCTACGAAACCACCGTTCTGCTGACGGTATCGTCATCGAGTGAAGTAGGAATGGATGCGCAATGAACTCAACGAATCGGGTAAAAGATTTGGCTGCGCGCAAACTCGGCAAAGACAGAGATCATGAGAATATCTGAGGCGAAGGTGAACAACTTGAACCAGATGGTTCTTTGCTCAAGGAGATCACCTCAAAGGTGTATCTTGGACATTCAATGAACATGGAGAACAACAAGAGGGGGGAATCAAAGAGAAGAAATAT